CATGGTCCCTGGGCAGGCAGTAGACAGGGTTTGGCATAGGAAGCTCTGTGGGTTGTCTGCAGTTCCCATCTCACAGAAGCGTGGTTTCTGAAGTATAGGAGATGGGCTCTGCCTCAGGTCTTCACACTGCCTGGGGTGTGAGGTCCCCTCTCAGGCAGCCAGGGTCAGGGGATGGCAGAGAACCGACATGTTACCGCTGCCCAAAATCAATGGCTGAGCAGAGGCTGGGGGCCACCAGGTGCGGCCAGAACCCAACACTCTAGTTGAACTCTTGGTAACCCGGGATGGATGGCCTTGGACCAGGAGCTCAGACCTCAGGGCAGGTGGGAGGACTCCTCTTCTCTACCTCCAGGGCCCTCTGGAGAACCAGTGTGATGAATGGGTGGAGATAAAGCAAGCTGAGTGCTGAAAGTTGATACTTTCAAACTGTGGTGCTGGGAAGACTCCCGAGAGTCCCTTGGACAGCAAGGAGATCAAACCAGTCAATCCTAAAGGAAATCAACCCTGAATATTCATTGGAAGGACTGATGCTGAAGCTGAAGTGCCAATATTTTGACCACCTGATGCAAAGAGCCAACTCATTGGAAAAAGACCCTGATGTCAGGAAAGATTGATGGCAGGAGGAGAAGGAGACGACAGAGGATGAGATGGTTGGATGGCATCACCAACTCAACAAACATGAGTTTGAGCAAAGTCCGGGAGATAGTGAAGGACAGGAAAGCCTGGTGTGCTGCAGTCCATGGGGTCACAGAGTTGGACACAGCTTAGTGACTAAACAACAACAACAACAAACGGGTAGAGAGCATAAGAGCAGAACAAAACATTGCACGGTTCATATCCTGTCTCTAGTTACAGCACTGGCCAGCCTCCTCTGCCCTGCTCCACCCAAGAAATGGAGATGAGAAATCAGAATGTCCAAACATTGAATGATACTTAGAAGCTAGTTCTTACTGGGGCGAAGCAGTCAGGCTGGCCACTTAGAGGGAAAGAGGAGATAAGGAGACCCAAGAGAAAGGTAAGAGAAAGGCCTCCCAAGTGAAAAGCAGTCACTTTAGAGTTAATTGAAGTATCCCCCTCTTTTTTTTTAAGTTAAGATGCCCAAAGCAACAGGGAATCAAGGGGTTGGGAGGTGAAGGTGGTCAGCCCCAGCACAGGCTACAAGGGGGATGTACTGTCTGTAAAGAATTCACCTGATCTGGTTTTTATCACCACACAATAACAATTCTAAACATCATCTGTGATAAACTCCTCCTCCCGCAGGGACTGACAGCTCCCACCACCCAGTCTCAGGATGCGACCAACTCAAAGAGAACTAGTCTGGAGCCAGCCCTGGGCTTCTATTTGGGACCCTGTAATCACCTAAAGCTCAGCCCTAAAGAGCCTGAGATGCAGATCCTCTCCCCTCTCCACCCTCAAGCCTCATCCAAACCCCCAACATAAAACAGAAGAGCCAGCAGAGTGTGTTAAGAGCAAACTCTGGGTTCAAACCCCAACTCAACCATTTACGAGCTACATGAAAGCTATTTAACCTGTGTCTCAGCTTCCTCATTTATAACATGGTAATAAAATAAGTACGTCACAGTGCTGTTATGAGAGTGAAATGAGTTAAAGTGGTCAAATGTTCAAAACAACACCTGTTATGAAGACTAAGATATGGGTTCACAGTACTGCAAATAGTTCAGTCTCTCCATTAGGTTATCTGAACAAAGGAGACACATCCCAGCAATCCCCAGGGCAGAGGGGAGTCTGATCTACCAGAACCTGTCTGGATTGACCTGCTTGGGTCCTGTTTCCAGGTAAAAGCCCAGAAGCATAGATGTTTCCCTCCCCTTATCCCCTAGAAAGTCTTCAGACAGAGCACCAAGATGTCCCAGATCCTGGCAAATACTTTTGATGGCAGAAAAAAGAAAGGGGGCAGTGCCCAAACCACACACTGGACCCTAAAATTCCTTCACTCATTTGAGAGCCAACATTGACCTATCCTGCCAGAGGCTAGGGACCAAGCTGATTCTTAAGAGACCCTTAGAGGACACACGATGGACCCTGGGGTACCAGACCTGCAGGAAGCAATTTTGACCCAACTTTAGTGGATGCAAAGGACAAAAATGGGGATGGAGAACACGGAGGGGCCAAGACTCAGGTCAAGCTGTAGCTCCCTTAGCCACCATTAACCCTGCCTTTCTATAACCGTTAAGCTGGCTTAAAACTTTTTTAACTTTTAGAAAATTGAACCTCACCCCCATCCCAAGATTCCAAATACCCCCCTCCTCATAGGGGGCCTTCAATGAATAATTACTGTAACTTAATACTACCTTGTATTATGAAAGTGAAGTCTCTGTTTTCAAAATAGAATATACTTTCAAACCAAATATATCTTTCCCCAAAAACACTAACTATCCAGCCATCCCTCAAGAATCACTAAGCCAAGACAATGCTTGGGTCTGGGTCTGGGCAGCATCAGAGGCAAGCCCAACCTGAGCTGGGTTCTTGTGCGGTGGTATATCCTCACCTGAAGCTCAGGCACCAGCCAAGACACACCCGGGGGAGAGTATAGCCTTGCAATTGAAAGGTACACTTGATTTTCTAACACATCTCCTTCCCAAGTGACAGAAAAATGCCGATTTCCTCCCAAGCCTGCATGATCTCAGGCTGTTCATATTGTGGCCCCCAGCATCACTTCCTCGTAGTCACCCAAACAAGTCATGCAGTTCCACAGTCCACTCCTATTTTTATATGCGCTATTCCCTCTTCTCGGAATGCCTCTACCATCCCTCCAGGTCTAACAACCACCTGCTCAGCCACATCGTCTTTGCTTTCCTAGGTTTGCTTTAGCTAATCTCCAATAGCCAACTGGGAAGAGCCAGCCTAGGTCAGCCATGAGAGGAACCACCTCTGCTAAGGTGGATTTCCCCAGTGGTGGCTCTTGGGGGTTGCAAAACTGCCTACCTAGGGGGCATCTAAGCTGAAGAGAATGTGTCCAGTTCCTGCTCAAACCACCGATCTAAGATGGAACCCTGGCTGAACAGTTTATGGCTGGAGAAAAGGGGCCGACTCTCATGCTTACATGACCAGAGCAGATGTGGGGCTCCAAGAGACCACTGTGGCCCTTGGTTTTAGACCTCTGTAGTAACAAGAACTCATGCTCCCTACCCTCCCCAGCACCAACTGCACTGATTCCCTGAAGCACTACAGGGCCGTAGCCCACCTCTTGCCTACAAGGAGAGAAATTTTACTTCTTGAGGGTTCTGCCCTCTCTCTCAGAAAAGCTAGTTAGAAAAAAGTGACCAGTACCTCAAATGATTTCTCCAAGATTTTAGACTGGCCACATGGTTCACCCTTCCCACTTCAAAGGGGTGGGTCTGAGGGTCTCAGGCAGGGTAAAATCCTTGCTGAAGTCAACTCTCCAGCAGAAGTGGTTCTGGGTCCATGTCCAGCTTCACTGGAGATAGACAATTTCAGCAGAGACCACACACACACACACACAGCAACCCTGTCATCCTCCCCCAACTCTCAGGGAGACTCTGAACAACCAGGTAAGGTCAGGATGGGGTCCTCAAAGCCAAGAGACTGTCAGCATCAAAGTCCAAGACAGACAAGGCCTTCAGAAGCCAAAAGAACACCAGCTCACACCACACTCCTGGACAGATGTCAGACCCTCTGGTGTAGTGAAGGGTTGTATATTCCGCCTTTCCTTCCCCACAGAAAGCGAGATCTAGACCTAGATTCTCAAGATGTCATGCCATTGGTGGACTGGGGCTGGCACCAGGCCTCTGAATTGCTAAGAGTGGGAGCTAGCCCTGTGACCCTCCTCCACCCCTCCCACAGTGAGGAGCCCAGCCCAGCCCGGCCACCGCCGCCATTCTGCACCAAACCTATAGCACGGAGGCCGGCACCACTGGAGGGGAGGCAGGCAGCATTGCCAACCCCCACCACAGGCTCTGCGGTTTCTCCCCCAGACCAAAGGGAAGGGAGCTCAGGGTGGATAACTGGCCCTTGGTTTCCTGGGCAAGAGCATGCCGGACATGGCAGAAAGGTCTCCTGGCCCTAGAGTGACACAGCAGAGGCCCCTCTAGAGAGAGAAAAAGCAACGAAGCCTGCCTCCTATCCACACCAGTTTTGTCTCCGCCGGCCAAGCTTCTGGTCTCCATTCAATGATAGCCTTAAGGCTATATTCACACACCCACCCCTCCACCCCGTATAGACACACCCTCCCGAGTTTTGCCACATCCAATTAACCACCCAGCTGCTGGTGATTCCACGAAGCCTTCAGAAACCCTCCTCCTAGCACATGGCCGGTGAACATTCCTTGTAGAATCCCAAGGGGGCCAGCTTTGGGGTCCTGGCTTGGCTGCCAGGGCAAAATCCGACAGAGGAGAACCGGGTGTTGAGAGTCTTTAGGCATCTCCTTTTCAAATCAGTCAGTTGACATCTTTGCCAAAGCCCAGGCTGTGGGGCCGTGAAGAAAAGCCCGTCTATCCCGCCATGAGTACAACTCTAGTGAACCAAGGTGCCACGCAGCCGGCCCAGGCCTCCAAGGTCACGAGGAGGGGTCAGGGGGGAAAGTGCAAGGGAGTGAGCGTGCCGCCCGCCCGCCGTGCTAATCCCGCCGTTTCTCTCAGCCGAGGCGGGAGTCCCGGCCATGCGGGAGGAGCGCCTCGGAAGAAGACTGCGAGCCGGGCGGAGTGTGGAGAACGAGGGACGCTCCGGCAGCGGGCGCGGGGCGGACGCGGCGCAGCTCGCCCACCGCGGGACGCACGGACGGCGGCCGGCGCGCTACCCGCCCCTAGCCCGGGAGGGCGGGGAGACAATGCCCGCCCGGCGGGGTAGTCCAGGCCGCACGCCCCCGCCCGCCGGACACGGGCTGCTCCTCCCCGGCCGAAGGGCAGCGGCGGGAAGGCGCCGGGAGCCGCTGCCAGACCGCGCGGGGGGCCGCGCGCGCCCCGTCCCCCGCCCCCCTCCGCGTGCGCTTCACAGGACCGGTCCCGGGGGCGCAGACCCACCTCCTCCTCCAGGGCGCCGCCGGAGCCCGCGCCGGTGCCCGCGCCGGTGCTGTGCTCGCCGTCCGGCTTCAGGTTGCTCATGGTGCGGGGGGTGGGGTGGGGCGGGGGTGGCGAGGGGAAGGGAGCGCTGAGGGCTAGCGCGGCGCCCGGCCCCGGCGAGGAGGTGGGGAGGGGCGCGGTGAGCAGTGCGCTCCGGGGGTGCGGGGCGGGGTGGCGGTGAGGGGCAGCCGCCGCGTCGGGTTGGGGGGTCACATCAAGTTTGGCGGGTGCGGGAGGCGGGGAGGGGGTGCGGCGTGGGGAGGCACCGGGAACCGGAGCGGAGCCGGAGCGGCCGCCGCCTCCGCCTTTTCAATGCGACCGGCGAGTGCGCCCGCGGCGGCGGCGGCGGCGACGGCGGCGGCGGGGCGGGGGGCGGGCGCCGGGGGAGGGGGCGGGCGCCGGGAGGCGGCGGGGGGCGGGGGCCGGGGGCCGGAACCGGCCTCAGCTGGGGCCCGGCCAGCCCCCTCCCCCGCCCTCGCCGCGGTCTCCGAGGGAACGCACAGCCAATCCCCGCTGCGCGCTGCGGGCTCGCCCCGGTCGGGGCTGCGGCGCGCTAGTCTCCGGCAGGGCTTTCCCCCTCTCTCCCGCGTCCTTTCTCTCCCTCTCCCTTTCCCCTTTCCCGTCTCCACCACGAGTTTTTAAACTTGGATGAACTCACCCAGCGAACTTTCTTAAAGGGACCGCGCGCACCGCGCCGTCCCAGCCCGCCGGAGGTGGGACTGGGTGCCAAGCGCCCCGCGCTCCCTTGTTCCCTCGTCAGCTTCACCCCGGCGGCCCCACGCGAGGGGGCGCCCGAGGCGGGACTCCAGGGTCGTCGGCTTCAGGAAGGAGTCTCCGCATTGAACTCTGACCTGGGGTTATGGGTGTCCGTCGCGCTTTCACCCCCTCCCGACCCCCCATCTATCCATCCAGCCCCCGTCCGCCCTCTCCTTCCTCCCTCCCAGCGTCGGACCTGTGGAGGGCCAGGTTCTGGGGCTCAGCGCCAAGGCGGGGCTGATACCTGGGCTTCGGCCCGGGCTAGGCGCAGTCTGCTGCGTGACCTTGAGGAAATCACTTCCCCTCTCTGGCCTCAGGCTTCCAGCCCAGAGGGTGGGACTTAGATCTCAAACTCCCCTCCCGCCGGCAGTCACAGACTAAGACTGGACTGGGAGACAAGTCTCGGGGATCCAAACGGTTATTAGCCGCTGGAGGCGGCGGGGTTCGGTACCTCGAAGGACCGAAAAGGTTTCATTCATGCGCCCCACCCCCATCTTTAGGGTCCTCGCCTCCCTCGGCTTAAATACCACCCAACACACACACACAAACACACGCGCGCACATCTTTTCCCCCTCCTCCCCTTCAGAGCCCGAGGCTTGGGCACGGCTGCGGTGACTCCCCCCTCCGCGAGTCTCAAGGGCGCAGCCCCGAGTTGGGTTTTCCTTCAGACTCTTGGAAACCCGCGCCGACCGCTGCCGGCCCCCGAAGCCACCTTGTGAAAACCCGAGCCCAAGTCGGGTCGCGCTTGAAGCGCAGCAGCCTGGAGCCCCTCGGAGCTGCTCCAGGACTGGGCTTCTCCCCAGCGCCCCCGCCCCCACCTTGAGCTCCGGGGCATCCCGGCCAGAGGCTCGGTCGAGACTGGCAAAGGCTCTGCCAGGAGAGGAGGGAAGTCCTGCGGGACCCCGCCCAGAATCAGGTGTCTTCGGGAGTGATCTGTCACCTTGCTCCTGGTGCCTGTTCAGACTTTCCTTGCCAAACCTTGTAGTGGCACCTGTATTTTAAGGCTGGAAGCGACACACCGCGTCGGTGGAGTGGGAAAAGCTACTTTTGCAGTCATGAACCAGTTAGGATCCCAGACCTGAGACAAGTGACTCAGCCCTTCAGAACCTCAATGTGCCTACTTTTAAACAGAGCCGGCGGTATTCTATGGGAAGATGGAGTGTGGAAGTATGCAGTATCTCCCCAACAAATTATAATCTTTCCTAACCTGCCATTTCCCAGATGAGTACTATAAATTGAGGTCTATAGATAAGCAATATCTTTCCCAATGATATTCATTTAGTAGATAATTGTTGAGCAACCACTGCCTGCTGTGGCAAGGCCAGGGGTACCCACCCTAGTTTCCCACCACCTCCACCAACACATTGTTAAGGTCCTAGTGTGAGGGAAACTGGGGCTTCCCAGGTGACACTAGGGGCAAAGAGTCCACCCGCCAATGCAGACTTTCTTCTATCCCTGGGTTGGAAATGACAACCCACTCCAGTATTATTGCCTGGAAATTTTCATAGGCAGAGAAGTCTGGCTGGCTACAGTCCATGGGGCTGCAAAGAGTTGGACACAACCAAAGGGACTTAGCACATAGGCATGAGGGAAACTGCTTCCTATAGGAATCAGGCATTGCCAAGAGTGATGGAGCTCCACTTTACCCAGAGTTTTTTAGGTACATCCAGCCTCTGGCACCTCCAGACAGAACCAACCCGTGAACCCCCAGATATTCTGACCATCCTTCATAGGCCTGTCTCCAGTTTGGCTCCTTTCCCTAGTGTAGATCTTCCCAGTAGGTATCTCTTCAACTTTGGCCCAGCAATGTTCTTCCTCCTTTACCGTCCCCTCCTGGCCCTCTCTCCACGTCAATCCAAGTCCTCCCTCCCCTTAAAATATGGGGTCAGCCCTCCTTGTTCCAGGAGAGGGAGGCTGGCCCATTTTCAAAACTCTGGCATCCTCTAGAAGTTAGTTTGAATTTTTCAAAGAGGAAAGATTTCTCAACTTGTCCTTCAGGTCTGCCTTTTATAGACAAGGAAGCTGAAACCCAAAGAGGTGACAAATAATGCAGGATCCACAGATGACCCCCATTACCGTATTTTTCCTAACATGAAGCTGATATTTATTGCTATTCTGATGATATAGCAATCCATGCTTATTGTTGAATAGCTGGAAGATTATAAAATAGTTTAGAGAATACCGTGTAGAGAGCAAGATTATTAATATTTCCTCTTAGTCTTTTTGTCTGTGCATATTTTAAAAAACAAAATTGCCAAACGATTTAAATACTCCTTTTTTCTTAAATCTATCATGAGCATTTCTTTTTAAGTTGTTGAGTCATAAATTTTAATGATTGCTTAACCCCCATTATATGTGCTGTAATTCAGCTTATCTCTTGTTGTTAGGCATTTGCATTATTTTTTCTTTTTTGCCTTCATAAGAAACATCTTACATAAGGATGCTAAATGCCTCAGAAAGCTTCCTATATGTGACCAGCCCTAAGCACTTTGAAGGCATCGATTGTCTTATTCTTCCCTGTCCTCCCTGCACCTCCCACCAACCCCCCCCCCACCAGCCCCCGCCACCCCACTGCCACTTGTGGAATTTTAGTTCCTCAGCCAGGGATGGAACCCACACCCTCAGCAGTGAAAGTGCAGAGTCCTAACCACTGAACTGCCAAGGAATTTCCCTCTCTCTACCCTTCACTACCCCAGGAATGGGAGAATCTCTGACCCCAAAGGGAACTGGATATCAGATAAATGCAAAGGTCCCACCCAGGACAGCACAACTACCCATCCATGCTGACCTGGGTTTGATAAAAGTAGGGCTGGAGAGAGAAGAGTTCAGGGCGTAGAAATGGCAGATTGCCTGGCGGGTAGAAACTTTCCTCTGTCTTCCCAGACTGTAACCTAGTAACCCAACCTCTAGCTGCCTCTACAGGTTCTTCCCACCACCCCCAGTGCCAGGCTCCATGTCACCTCTGAGCTTCTCACATTTCTGTTCCCTTTGCCTGGAACTACCTCCTTCCCAGACACCAACTCCCCTTCTAGAATGCTCTCAGAGTGCCTTCTCTATGTTCTCTTGAGCTGGGGAATGCCTTGTCTTGCAGTTCACCTACCAGATGGGAAAATCTGACTCTGAACTGTGTCCACAAACCCTGCTGGTGAATACAGCCTTAGCCCTCTATCTCTGCAGCCCGCTAGCCTCCAGTAAAGAGCTTGGTGAGTGGTGGGCATTTGCTAGGTGTTCAGTGAACCAATCCTGGGGCTTCTGGGTTATCTGGTGCCTGTTGCCTTTTCTCTTTGATTTCCTGCACGTACATTATCCTTTGATGCTTTGTTCTTAGGGTAAGGAAAAGAGTCAAATGGTTTCACTCCTGAGAAATCCTGCCCAGGGACCCAGCATCCTAAGGGTGTGCCTGACTACCTCAGGGCAGGTCCGCTTTCTAATCCCAGTTCCCCTACCGTCAAGAAAGTCTGAGCAACAAGAAGGCAGGTAGAGAGAGTGACATTGAGGCCCAAAGGCTGGTGTATATCTGAGGTGTATTTTCTTGCCACATGAAAGTTAAGCTGCACTTAAGCGCAAGAGGTTTCAGGAAGGGAAGGGGGGCAGGCTGCTGGCATTTATAAAGTACCTACTCCTTCCTGCCCCAAGCAGGTAAATGTGTTCTCTTGAATAATTCTTGGTATCCTGGTAATAAATTAGAAAACAGGCTCAGGAAAACTAGGGGAACTTGCCTAGCTCCCAGTGGATGGCATGGATGGTGGGGAAAGCATGAAACAGCCCTGTTGTGAGCTTACCAGTTCATCTCTAAAATGGGGATACTAGTGCACAACTTCAGAGATGTGTTATATAAGAATTCATGATAAGCTCTTGATGGTTGTGATTATTGCTTGTGGCACTACTTCTCATTCAAAGGTCAAGGTCAGAGTGGGTAACAGGTCAAGATTAGAGATTGGGTCATTTTAGCCCAAAGTTCCTGAGCTGTCTCCTCTCCTCTTGTCCTCCTTACTCCAGGCCACATAGTTACCAAATTCCCAGGTTCAAGTCCAAAGCAAACAGTATTTCCAAAACAGCTGTGCCAGACTCAAATCTGGGTTTGAGTCTAGGTGATTCTGGCAACCTTTGTGACCACGGGCAGGTAGTTTAATCTCTCTCAAGGTTTGTTTTCTCATAAAACTAGAGATGCCCTTCAGGTTCTCATAAGTTACCCCGGTTTTTGTAAGTATTTACTGAGATCCTGGCTCTCAGGGTTCTTAGATGTCCTCAAAGCTCTAGGGCAGTGACTTCCCTGATGGTCCAGT